AGTGTTTTAAGTAGTATATATAGTGTTTTAAGTAGTATATATATATATAGTGTATACATAAATATTGCTTATTATTATTATCGTTACCTTTTACAACCCGCATGTGTTTATCCTAATACACAGTCTGATAAACACAGGAAACTGTTCTCGGTGGTGTACAAAAAGGGCTCTTTATGTTGGAAATAGTTTGTTATATAGGTTCCCCCGGTATGACAGCGGTAAGTCTACGGATTTACAATATCAAAATCAGGGGTTCGATTCCCCTCGGTGGACACAGCAGATAGCCCGATGTGGCTTCGGTATAAAGCACACACACACACATTGTTATAGCGATATACTTGAGAATAATCGTACTAACGATCGAAGCATCGTACTGGTATAAATAAAAAACTTTTCTTAAAAACCTACTGTAAAAGTTCTAACTCATAAGAACAGCTCATATTTCTACTCTGTCACAATAACTGGTTGTGGATCCTCACAGCTTTGAAAATATTTCAGGGTGGCTGACTAGTTAATGTCTATGATTTTCTATTGGTAACTTAAGCCAGCACAAAACCTATATAATTTGTAGGGGCTTTTAACTGCTGTCTAGAAGTATTTATTAGTCAAATTCATATTATTTATTAAAGACTTTTTCAGTGACTATTAATAAACGAGTGTCTTTGTCCTGAAGCTTTTAGGCGCCAGAGTCAGGTTATTAGTAATACAACATTTTATTCTAGCCCCCCCCCCCTCCCAGTGGCACAGCGGCATGTCTGCGGACTTACAACGTTAGAATCCGGGTTTCGATACTCGTGGTGGGCAGAGCACCGATAGCCCATTGTGTAGCTTTGTGCTTAATTACAAACCAACAAACAAATTTTATTCTAACTGCTATAATTTTGAAAAACAGCTACCTTAGATTTTGATCACAATGAGGTAGTAATAGTAAAAACAAACAAACATGGTATTTAAATAATGTAAACTACCTAAACTTTTAAACTTGCGTAGTTTGTAAAAATAAAATGATCCATAAAACACCTGGTTGAGAAACGGTACAATTTGGTATTAACTTATCATTTGAATGGAAACTAACCAATGAGGGAGATCAGATCATGAATGAAGAATATCAGGTGCTTGAAATAAATTAAAAATACTTCTTAAAAGTAATTTCAACCAAGTGTTTATTCTGTAAACCAATAAGACAATTTCGATCTCCACTAAAGGATAAATTTGTTATTTTAATCATCAAAAGTAACTTTGGCCGTTACAGCAAATAATTACTTAAAAGTCTGGATATGACTTTGGTAGCATCTTCATACGATTACGCTCTCCTAACTAAAAAATATCTTACGAACAAAATGATATCGGACAAAGTTGTGATTTGGCTACAGACCCTAAAACGTACAAAAACTTAACGTAACGTCTTACAATATACTACATATTATAAACGTACGTTCCGCAATCAATGTAAAGTAATTTCAGTAAATTCACAATCCATTTTACATTTGCTAGAATAAAAATCCCCAAAATCATGCGATTACAGTACTTGCTATTTCTCTATGGCAAGCTTTAAAAAAAAAAAGGTCATTTCAAAGCACAATTCTTATCACTAATTTGAAATTATTTAGAATAAAATATAAACATATTCTCAATTTCAGAGTTAATAAATGGATTTATTAAAGTTGCATAAAAGTGCTACAAAGCTCTCTATATACCTGGGTAATCACAATGGTGAATTCTTCTTTTTTCAAGCTCTGGATTGTTTCTCCTGTTGCTTTTCAACTGATGGCATTCATGAAGCAGAGATCCAGATGGAGAAGCATGCGGCTGACAGGAGTCCGGATACGGTGGAGGTGGAGTCCGTCGGCTCTGCAAAGACAGTGTCTCCATTGAAGGACTACCTGGTTCGGAGTTAGGTGGTGTGGGTGGTGTGTACACATGGGATACGGTGAAATGAAGGCCCATAGAAGTGAATTTGTAAGGTTGTATATTGTTGCAAGATGTTTGCGACAACCTTTGGTGCATGTTCGTGTTCTGGAATGGAGCAGCAGTTCCTGAAGTGGTTGAATATTTTCCGGTTGGTGTTACTTGAGGCATTAACTCAGATAAAGAAGAAGGCTTCTCCTGCTTTATAGTAGTTAAAAGCGGGTCGTGACAATTACGGTCTAATGAAGTATCATTGGAATATGGGCATGAAGGCAGGGAATCGGTTTCTGTCTTGATTTGGGGAAAGTCCAGGTTGTCGGGGTCAAACTTGTAGAAGTGAGCAATATCTTCCCATAATGAAGTAGAACGAGATTTATTATCTGGGCTAGGCACAGGTGCTGGCTTCACAAAGACATCATCATTATGTTTGTCATACATTAAACTGCTGGTGTTTATTATACAGTTTTCTCGTAAAGCAGTACCGTGTTGTTGTTGATGAGGGTCATGGGGCTGGTTAAAGATTACAGGAGCAACATGGACATCGTTCATGTTGAAAGCCTTTTCGTATGAGGAACTGAGGGCACCAAAGGAAGTACAACCTATGACGTTATTCAGGGTGGCTGTCCACTGATCTCTGTGTTCTTCGAAAAACTCGTCTACTTGTGAGGCACTCACCCTACGGGGTTTTTGCACAGCCAATTCCTCCACGTGCTGTTTACCGAGATAAGCGTCAAGCTCAGCGTCAACCTACGAAAAAAAAACGCTTTTAAAAAGGAGTTTGTGAGATACTCGTCAATAGGTCATCATTACGAAATGGCCTAGTACGAAGACTAAATAAGAACTTAAAAAATGAATGAAATAAATCGCCGAAAAAAGTCAAGTGCTTATAATTGTCACACACTATATATTATTACAGTGCATATCTATAACGTTTATTATACTACAAAACTTATAATTATCCAGTGTGTGTGAAAGTTTTTCAAAGCCTCAGTGAAATGTTTCAAATAAAAATTTGAAGTAAACACCAAGGAACTGTCGATACTTCTCTAGTAAAAGCATTGAAAGTATACGTTTTCTGTTCAGTTTTGGGTATCATGATTATGTGAAAATGAATTCTCAATGTTGGAAGATCTTTCTAATGTCACGTTTTGATGAAAGGAGTGATGTTTGTACAAGTAAATGTTTCAGCTTTTCCATTTAAATTGTTCTGTCAATATTTCGCAATAATAGAGCACAAAACATTAAAAGAATCTCCATTTTATTATTTAGGAAAGTTTCTCATCATTTACTGGAATTTCAAAAATACTGATTTGGATGTAACAGTTAATATCATGTAACTAACATTTTGTTATTAAAGCTCATAAATCATTGCAGTCACAAAATCTGAATGTATATATTTCTTGTTTAAAATGGAGAGTTAGCTAATTTCGGTATTGTTAGAGACAGAGAAAGGAGTTGCATCTCAAGTTGTTTGCATAAGTTGTATATTTGTTCCCTCAAAAGTAACATTCACAGTTTCCATAGATAAAAAAATGTTTAGCACTGGAAAAATCTCTTATAGATATTTGAATTTTTTTATATTTAAACCAGCATGACTCCATGTTTCTGTATTTCCTACTTCATTGTTAGTATGTCTGTCTGGCCGATTAACTTTCTGTTTTTCTTTCTCGGTCAATTTGTCTCTGTCTATTTCCTCCTCCTTCTTGTTTTCTTTTCTCGGCGTGCACACTGTGGCTCCTCTTCCATGAACTTGGCTTGTTGAAAAACACCATCACAAACAGATGGTCATTTATGTTTCGTTATCACAGAGCTTGTGAAATAAACGGTACTGATTCAGTTTCTTCGTATTTATACTTAACCGCACATTGGAAACTGTATAAGGATATCTGAGATGCCAGCCAATTTGATCGAATAGGTGTTAGTTTTCAGTAGCAGGCCATTTTCAGCTGCAGTCATTATTCAGTTTGCATTAAGTAGATTGATTGGCCAATTTCTCACCACGTGCATTCAAGTATGTATGTGTGTGTTTCAACTTCGAACGAAATATCACAGTTGCCCAGACAATGTCTTCTTCTATTGCTGGCTGTAGATTCTTTCATGAAGAGGAAGGAAGATAACACAGGAAGTTCCGGTGTGGAAATGTGACCTCCCGTTCGAAACATAACTGATACTTAGACTTACTTAATGCTGTAAAATATAATATAATTTTCATAGATAACCGTCAGCAACGTGAGAGTTTGACGTTATGAGAGCATTGTTTGTGTGAAACGTTCTAATATAACGTAATACCAGCTTTTGCAAAAAACTTATTTTAATGATCGAAAAACAAAACTATTCCATTATCGATAAAATCAACCAATTTTGTTTGGTAAATTATTGATAATTATAAATGACTGCTTTTACTTGCTATGTTGTCGTTGTTTGTAATTAAGCACAAAGCTACACCATGGGCTATCTGTGCTCTGCCCAGCACGGGTATCGAAACCCGAATTCTAGCGTTAGAAGTCCGCAGACATATCGCTGTGCCACTGGGAGCTACTTGCTATGATTCAAATAGGTTTTGACAATAAAAAGACAATGAGATTCAGAACTTAACTCTTTGATCTTTTTACGTGGACATCAATGACAGTTAATATATGTTTTTGCAGTCACTGCATCTTCGAATATATTTTCAGCATTCCAGAGTTTCTCAATTCATTACTTGATGTCACAAACTTTTAATTGCACTTTTCAATCAAAATTAAAAGCTACTTCAAATTAGGATACATGGATTTATAAAAGCTAAACATTATTTAAGCTTATAGCAGAGCTTAGTTGTGTTTTTAACCGGATCTCAAAGTACATGAGCCCATTGTACAGGCTTTAAACGGAAAGATGAGTTGAAAGACATCAACAAATTCTGTTACATCGTCAGACTAGCCACATTCCCAACTGTTCAATTTATGCTGAAAATGACAATTACTTGCTAAAGGACTTTATTATTAAGTGAGATAAGTATTAAATTATTTCAGGAAATTGGACATTTAACAATTTATTTTAATTATTTCAAAACATTTTACTAATATTCATATAAAACACTAAACAAAATACGACTTTAACTGATGTTGTATGCGTTTTCTGTTTTTTCATTTACTAGTTTAATTATTGCAGGCTTTGAAATATCCAATTCAAGATATGAAACTTTATGCTGTTAACATTCCTTGTATCCATAAAACCCAGTGTATGTATACATAAAAACTGAAAACTATTTATAAAATTATCGCTGTCAACTAAGTGGTCACTAATGTTGTAGGTAACAAGAATGTTTTAACAGAATAACCCATTACCATTTATAGTTTCAAACAAGAAAGGATTTTCGAAATAAGGAAACATAATACAGTCCTGCATCACAATTGGCCCGGCATGGCCAGGTGGTTAGGACGGTCGACTCGCAGTCTGCGGGTCGCGGGTTCGCATCCCCATCCCACAAAACATGCTCGCCCTTTCAGCTGTGGGGGCGTTATAATGTGACGGTCAATCCCACTATTCGTTGGTAAAAGAGTAGCCCAAGAGTTGGCGGTGGGTGGTGATGACTAGCTGCCTTCCCTCTAGTCTTACACTGCTAAATTAGGGACGGCTAGCGCAGATAGCCCTCGTGTAGCTTTGCGCGAAATTCAAAACAAACAAACAAACAAACAAGCATCACAATGACATGGTTGGTTGGAATAAGAAAATGTGATACAGTCCTGCATCACAATGACATGGTTGGTTGAAATAAGAAAATGTGATACAGTCCTGCATCACAATGACATGGTTGGTTGAAATAAGAAAATATAATACAGTCCTGCATCACAGTGACATGGTTGGTTTTCTTGTATCACTCATGATGCATGCAACTAACTTCAAGTTGGAACATTTTATGGTAATAAACAAATTTCTCTCATATTTTTTACATTATTTTGAGAAATCTAATATAAAATAAAAGTTACATAAAGTTATATAAAATTTAGCAGCCTGCACACTGGGTTATGGGGTTTTCTTATTATTAAGAAAATACTTTTGACTGTTAACAAAATAATTGGAATTGATTCAAAATTCTCTAAGCTAACGATGTAGTTATCTTCTCCTTAAAATACGACTTCAGAACACAATATGATGATGGCGGTTATTTTCTATGATATATTCATAAAGCTGTTTCCCGCTGGCTCAGTGATTAATCTTAGGGTTTCAAAGACTAAAACTCTGATTTCGATACCCGCGATGGACAGAGCACAGATAGCCTATTCTGTAGATTTGTGTTTAACAACAAACAAACAAATATTCATAAAGTGACATATAAGACGCGGCTGTTACAGTTTTAGAATCAAAGAGAAAATAATTTGAATGTTTTTGTTTTATTTTACGTATTTAGTTAAACTGTACTTAAAATCCTCAATGTCAAGTATGTATAATTATAGTCAATTTGAAATCTTGATACTAACAGTAACTTCTTAGCTTAGGCTTTCTTGATGATATGATAATGTAGTATAATTGAAATCCTTAAAATAATAATACTAAAGTTCCAGTTTCCGGTATTTTGTGTGTATGTGTGTCCTTATAGCTTTGGTACTGCAAGTGTTTATTTATAATATCACTGGGCGTGGCATGGCCTGGTGATTAGGACACGCGGCTCGCATCCTGCGGGTTGCGGGATAGAACTCCGTCACCGAAAATCTTCTCTCTTTCAGCCATAGAGTCCTTATAATGTGACGGTTAATCTCACCATTCGTTAGTAATGAGTGGCTCAGAAGCTGGCGGTAGCTGGTTTTGACTAGCTGCCTTTATTTTAGAGTCTAGTATATTATTTCAATTTAGGGACAGCTAATGCAGATAGTCCTCGAGTAGCTTTGGGCGGAATTTAACAAACAAAACCAATTTGATATCGTTCTCACGAGAATCATTAAAAAAAGAAGTCACTAGTCATGGAAAATGTAAACACATGGAACGCACGCATAAATGTACAACAACCTTATTATGGATCATTAGTTATTGCTAGGTGTTACGTTTTCTCGTTCAGTACAACTGTATGTAATGGATTTTAGTAAATCGTATAACTATAAAAATTCGCCCTTTGAATTACTCTTACTAGGATAAACGTCCACATTCTTCTGTAATTTACTTGTTTATAAAATGCAATATTATGACTACTTTATATTCTGAAATTAAACATCGTATGCGTTCCTTATCGGTTGATGATATGTAGCTGAGCAAACTAATGCCAAAACTACAAAGTATAGCCTCAATTATTCAACATAGTAGACTAAGCATTAGGTGATAATTAATGCAAATAATGTGTTCTTAAGTCTTAAAGCGCTTCAGAAGAACACGAAATTAATGATAACTCATTCCTTATATGTACATGTTTCGTTAACTCAATAAACAGTTACTTTTCAACCACATACATCTTTAGCACCTTGCTGTTTTTAGTCATTTGTTTTTGGTCAGTAGGTATGACCTTACGTTGTGATCGTTAAATCAATTCTTTGAACCAGCATAGCCATTAGTAAAGCCTTTAAGCTTAGTTAAAATGTTATCAAAACTGCTTTTGTAAACAGTGTTTTAATGTCGAATTTTTCCTATTTTTTAAACCTTATAAAATATAATTTACATTTTTAATGTTTTCGTGACATACTTCTTTGTCTGAAAACATACATACACACCAATAAACGCTTTGATTATTTTAACACCGATACACAAATTAAATCACTTTCATATGAAAAATGTATAAC